AGCTGCCGAGGAGAAGCAGGCGGAACTGCAGGGCCAGGTTGAACAGTTGCAGGGTGATGTGGCTGAGCGTGATCAGAAGCTGGAGGAGATGCTTGCTGCACAGAAGGACCTTGAGGAGCGGTACGCCGACGACACCCGAGCTGCCGAGGAGAAGCAGGCGGAACTGCAGGGCCAGATTGAGCAGCTGCAGAGTGATCTTGGCGACAAGGAGGCCGGGCTGGAAAATGCTGAAGCTGAGCATGATGAGGCTATTAAAGCTCTTGAGTGTATTCTTGAAGAGCGTGACCAAGAGATTGAAGAGCTGTTGGCTGCACAGAAGGAGCTTGAGGAGCGATACGCCGACGACACCCGTGCTGCCCAGGAGAAGCAGGCGGAGCTGCAGGGCCAGATTGAGCAGCTGCAGAGTGATGTGGCTGAGCGTGACCAGAAGCTGGAAGAACTGCTTGCAGCACAGGGGGAGCTTCTGAATTGTCAAGAAAAGGATGCGTGCGCTGCCCAGGAGAAGCAGGCTGAGCTTTTGCGGCGTTTGGAACTTCTGGAGAATGAATTGCAAGCCACTGAGAAGCAGATGCAGGATGAAATATCTGCTTACGAGGCTGAGGTGGATGATTGGCGCTACAAACTTGGTGAGGAACAGCGCCAGAGCGAGGAGCAGTCTGCTGAGTTTGAGGGTCGTATAACGGAGCTTGGCAAGGAGCTGCGGGATGCCAACAGGCGCATTGAGGAACTGAGGCAGTATATGGTTGATGTCGAACAGTACGTTCGTGGTGCCTATCAGACGACGCTCGAAGGATTCTGTGCAACGCGGCAAGAGGCGCTAGAAATGCTCAGTCTTAGCACTACTTCCAACATGAACGACTACAAGAACGCTATGGCGGCAAGGGTGCAACTGATGGCGGCGGTAGATCAGCTGCAGCAGATGTTGGAGGATGAAAAGCGGCAGGCGGAGGAGGAGATTGATAAACTTCGCAGCTCACTAGCGGAGTCGAAGTCCTCGAGCCGGAACCGTTTGAAGGATGTCATTGCGTTTGTGCGGTCTGCGCAGGGTTTTCTCGTTAAGGCGGTGGAGGTTGGCGCGGACTGCGCTGATGGGAACTCACGCCTGGGGTCACCAGAGCCTCGTCTTGGCGTTTCAGTGCCACTTGGTGATCACTCAAACAAGGAAAATAATGCGAAGCGCAGCAGCCCACAAGCTATGCTCACATCGGTGGGCCATGCGGTGTGAGTGGGCGGTTAGTCTGATTTCCCACAATGGGATAGTTTGACAGTAGAAGGAGCGCACAAGGCGGTTATGAATTCTGCAGTGGAAGGCCTCATTATTTTCTCTGCGCGAGAGTTTTGTCTTGTTTTGTGTCCTCCGCTCTGGGCACTGTTTCTGATCTAACAGCTATTCACTTGCATTGTACTGTGTGTATGTGTGTGTGGAAGTGGAAGTGGAAGTGGGGGTGGGGGCGGTATGTAGCGTGCCCGTGTCCCGACACACTCGTTTTGCTTCCGTCATTTTCTACGTGCTGTCTTTGGTTACTTGTTTTTCCCCTGCACACGACCAGCCGCCTCTTCCCGCGTGCTTCCTCCGTCTTCTGCTGCTCTTCCACCGCCATCGCACCTTTATCGGCCGGTGCGATGGCGGTGCGGCGACGGTGGGATGCAAACACACAAGCCGAAGCAGGATTCAAACAACTGGGCCCACAAAAAAAAAAGCGCTAAAAAAGCGAAACGTAAGGACAAAGAGGCTGCACGGTTAGAGGTGCGCGTGCTGCTGAGGGGCTCATACATCACATGCGCATACATATTTATTGGTGCATGTCTACAGGGTCACTCTCTCCTGCCGTTCTCTCTCTCTCTCCGCACACACACACACACACACACAGACCGACAAACAAACAGGACCCCAAATGAAAATATAGATAAATTAGATGTTTGTACTCATTGTTCAGTTTTGTTTTGTTTTTGTTTTGTTTTGTTCTATTTTTGATGTACTTCTTAGAGTTGGTATTTCTCCCGCCCCCCGCCCTACGTGTCTGCAACGGCGAGTAATAATAATAATAAGATCACTCGGCTGCACACATACAAACACACACACACACAAACGCAGACACACGTATACATAAATGCATCCTTTTTGTTTTGTACTGCTGTTATATGATTTCTTTATATTTGGGTATGTGTCTTTTTTTGTTCTCAGCCTGTAGGTCGCTCTAGTTTAAATTGGTGACCTGCCCCGGTGGTGGGAGGTGTTATTCTCCATTTTCCGTTTATTTTTACTCCTGCACCTTCTTTTTGTTTTTGTTTTGTTTGTTTTTGGGGCCTTGGCCCCTCCGTGCTTGCGTGTGTGTGTGCACGGGTACTGGGGGGAGCAAAGGCGTATGCGGCGACAGGGGGATGCGCCTCAGTGGGCGGGAGGGAATAGGCGGAGGGTAAAAATAAATATTTTACAACCCCCCACACACACACCTCATTTTTGTTTTGTTTTCGTTTGATTACAAATAAATGCACGCACATCGTGGTTGTGGAAGGAAGCCTGCATTTTCCCTCTGCGTGCGTGCGTGCGTGCGTGCGTTTTTTCGCTTTTTGTTTGTTTATGCGTGGTTCTGGTAGTATTTGTTGTGTTGTTAACACCTTACTTTTTTTTTTTGTTTTGTTATGCCTGTGCTGGGGCCAGCCATTGAACGAGCTCAGCGCAGCTGTATGACTCTCCTCGCCTTGTTGTTGTTGCTATTGCATGTGTGCGTGTGGGCGCTCTCGTGGCCTTATCGTCCGACTCTTCATCTCTCTTTTTCTCTTTGCGTAGGTGAGTTAAGGAGGCACACCAATAGGTGCGGTAATGTGGCCTGCGGAGGGTAGCAGTCGCCGTGGCGACGTTGTGACGGCGCGAGCAGCGGCTGAGGCAACGGACAAAGGCATCCGGGCGGGCACAGTGCTCGAAACGCTGCAGCGGGCTTCCCGACATGCGCAAGGGGTTGTCGAGACGGGTGTGACGACAACGCGCCAGCTACAGGTGCAGGGAGAACAAATGCGGCGGGTTGACCGCGGCCTCGATGAGGTGAAGCAGGAGTTGGGCGCCGGCGATCATGCCCTGCTGCGCATGACGTGGGCGGGTAGAATTAAAAGTTGGTTCAAGCCAACACCGCCGCAGCCGAGTAACAGGGGTTTGTCTTCGTCTGTGCTGTCGCCATCGTCCGCGCAGCCCCCAGAAGAGCAGCTGGGGCAAAAACGACAAGGGCAGGAAACACGTGGCAGGGACCCCCATGGGGTGAGTAGTGACGGCCGCGACAATCAGCTCTCCAAAGAGGAGGAGGAACTGTTGGATGCGTTACTGGGCGACGTGCACGTCATGCGGGAACAGGCCACTCTTCAACGGGCGATACTCACAGACCACAGTTGCCGTCTTGGTGCCATGACGACAAAAACCGACGAGGTCTGCAATCACATGGAACGTATGAACCGAAAGGTGGAAAAGATGCTTTAAAGCATCGGAAAGATCTGCCCATGTCTCTCGCGATTTTGTTTGTCTTTTCGCTCTCTCTTTTTATTAGTCTTCCACATGCAATTCACTCGCGCGCACGCGCGCGCGGGATGGAGTGGCACTGTGGTTTGTTTATGGTGAGTTTTTGCTTGATGTCAGTGCGAGATTTCTTTCATTATTACTATAATTATTTATTTTGTTTGCTTCCATGGTGGATAGTTTGCGTACGGGGCGTACTTTTTTCTTAGCCCTCCACTCCCGCCGTGTTTTTTTTTTTCTTGTAATCTCTTGCATGTGCTGCCGCAGCGACACACAGTGCTGATCGCATGCGACTGCGCAGTTTGCTCCTTCGTCAGCCGTGGCGTAGCACGGCTTCCGCGTACGCCCGTCATGGCGAGGCGGCGCGGGGCCGGCGACACAGACGCGCGTCACACGACACCGCCAGTCTGCGTGACTCGGTAGGAATGCTGATCCCTGAGGCCTTTCTGCGCCGCGACCGAGTGTCGCCCGAGGTGCTAGACCGCTCCATCGAGAAGAAGGCGCACGACCTGCTTGCCCTGGGCGCGGACGCTGCGCACGAGTTTGGCCCGTACGGTGCAGAGTTTGATCGGCGTGACATTCGCTTTCAAGGGAAGAACGGCGACCTGCGTCAGTTTGCGGAGATGGCGGCGAGGGCCGCCTCGGTGGAGAGGTGGAGTGGCACGTCACTGCAGGGCAATCCCCCGCTGGGGGACGCCGTGGCCTTCGTTGGGGGGAAACACCAGAAGCGACCTCTGCCAAGCACCACCGCAGACACATCCAAGGATACACTCACGGGCGGGAGTGCGGCGATGCTGCAGCGGGTGGTGAGGCGTCATGGAGGGGATTTGTCTCCCCTGGCGCATGCCATAGCTGCTGGTGGTGTGACCGACGCTGATACTGGAGGCCAACATGATGGTGGCGATGAGGGGAATAGGGCTTCAGTAGCAGGGGTAAAGCCGAAGCTGGAGGCGTCGTCGACAGTGACGGAAGGTAAACGACGGGTGGAACGTCGTCAACGTCGGCTTGAACGCATTATGAACCGTGAGGGGGACGTGCACCCTTGCGTGCATCAAGGCGGCTGTGTCTCACAGGGTGGGGCGGCAATGTGCCCGTTTGTCCTGCATCCTGCAACGGTCTGCGTGGCATGGCTGCGGCATGGCTGTTGCGAGGATGCTGTGCGTGGAAGTTGCCCATGGTGGCATGGTGGCATGGCTGACACCGGCAAGACAGAAGTTGTGGGAAACCGGCTTTTTTGTGGCATTGAGGACGCCAACGACGGAGACCGTGAGCTGCTGTGTGAGAGCTGTGCGTGGATGGGCACGATCCTGCAGATGTTTTTGGATCTTGTGGTCACCACACTCGAAGACGCGCGGTTTGACGTCTCGGAGGGACACGTGTCTGCTGCGACGGTGCGGGGGATTCTCGAGGCGTCACTCGGCGCGGCCTCGAGCAACAGAACAGGCCACACTTCATCCGACATGCCGCTGCACTACGACCCCGCGTATGACTTTTTGTCGGTGGATAAGGAATTGGCGCTGAGCGCCCTCATGTCGGAGGAGGAAGTGGGGTCGACGCAGGGGAATGCTTTCCACACGAACGTGGAAAAGGAGGACTCCTTTGATGTCATGCTTTCCCGCGAGTTGGCGTCGTCCCAGCAGGGAGTGGAGGCGCTGTCCTGCGCGGCGGTGGGAGACGCGGAGGAGCAGTTGCATGCCACCGCTGAAAGGCGACTTCGCCGCGTTCTCGCCAGCTTCCGCGGCTACGTCTGCGCGGTTGACGTTCACGAGGGGCCTGAGGATCGTATTTCCCTCTGTACGCCACTTACTCAGTGGTTGCTGCAGCGCGTCGCCGACGACTACCAAAATCAGAAGAGCCGGGGCAACGCAGTGGAGGCCACACCGCAAAGTCTTTTTGAGGAAGCAAGCATCACCCTGTTGCGTACTCACCTTCGGAGGTGTGGCGTTGACAAGGGTGGTGCGAGCGACAGCCTGGCAAACTCTCACCGCTGGTCTGGCTTGTTATTGCTGCAGCTGATGTCGCTGCTTACACGTCTTCCAGCATCGCGTGAGATGTTCACGGCTGTAGGCTGCATGGAAAGCTCCTTCCTCTACACGGCGTTGCTGTTGCTTCATATAAAAGGGACACCCAGTTGGTCTGCGGACAACGTACAGACACGGTATATGAGTTGCTGGGTGTTTTTTCACTCGCTTATCTCGACACTTGCGTTGGGCCTTGTTCGTGAAAGCATTCACCAGTTTACACTTGCTCGCTCTGCCTTGGTGGGTGTGGTACGGCAGCTTGCGCGTGGCGTGGAGGATCACTTCTCCATGCCGCTGCTGCGGGCGTCCGGATGGTCGGCGTGGACGGACGAACAAATGTTTGCCTCACAGCGGATGCAGGCGTACACCGCCGTGGAGTATGCACGGTTTCACCTGCCTGCCACTGCCCACTGCTTCCTGACGTCGGTCTTGAACACATTAATGCTGCACGTCCTGAGGGAGGCTATGCAACGGTATCAGCTGCGTCCGAGCCCTGTGGCTTCCGTGCTGTTTAGTGGGAGCCGATACTTGGGCGCGCCGCAGGAGTCGCTGCGACAGGAGCGATGTCTTTGTGGCGGCGGCGGCGGTGTCCTGGTGCGTCGAGGGGTGCAGCCGTACGCGTTGGAGGCTGTGGCGCTTCTTTCCTGCCTGCATGACGAGAACAACGCGGTGATGGCGCGACGGCAGCAGCTGATGGAGGAGTTCATGACACGGCGCGCGGATTATCATGAGCGCGCTGCGACGGAGCTTGCACGCTGTCGGAAGAGCTACGGCAGTGGCCATCTGCAGCACAACAATGGCGTGCACCCCGCTGACGCTGAGGACATTCATGTCTTTGAGAAACTGTTACCGCACGCCTCTGTCATGGTCTCTGCGGATGTCTTGAGCCTTTTGCTACCCGTCTTATTTCTTGGCGGTGGAGCGTACAAGGCGCTGCGTCTCGCCTCTTCAGCGATCCATGCCAGTAGAATGTTGCGACACGCTGCAAAGCAACCCATACCGTACGTCGTTCAGGGTGAGAAGACAATTCACAAGCGAGTGCGACACGGTGGGACGGGGCGAAAGCACCTTATTCGCTTGCGCGTTCCCGTGCTGCGCCGCGTTGACGCCGAGGTGAAGGAACAGGAACGTAGCGGCGTGAGTGCACGTCCTGTTGGATTGTACATGCAGCTCGGTGAAAGGGTTGTGGCGGAAATAGCAAGCATGGGCGTGCGCATGGGAGCTGCTGGTGCAAAGCTTGTACGTGGGGTGTGCGAGGATAGCGTGCGAGGGTTGCTGGTTGACTACGCCGAGGGGCGATGTTTGCCTGCACCAGATGCCGCTGACGTCCACGATGGGGGCACCATCACAGCCGCCTTTGGCGCAAGGGCGCTAAGGACCATTTTGTCAATTGCGGGCGTCGGCAGTCAATGCAGTGGTGGTGCTGCCACCTTTAGGCGAGGGTCAAGCCACGCAGCGGGCCCTGTCATCCTAGAGCGCCGTATTCCACCCACTGCGCTCCTCCTGGAGACTGTCGTGGCTCTGACGCCGACCAACGACCGTGAGGCTCACACGCTGTACGAGCGTATCTGCAGCATGGATCAGAGAGCTCTCGTCACTGACCGGGTGTTGCTTGCACAACACTATCATGCAGCTCGACGCCACTTTGGACGGGCAGCTGCAGTGGCCTCCGCTGTGTGGCTCGATGTAGTTCGTGCCGGACTTTCTTCACTCTCACGCCCATCGACGGTAATCCTGCAGCACGAGGTGGAGCAGCTGCCTGCCTCCGTCGAGTTTGGGCTGGAGACATTAGGAGCCGCATCGCATCCTCTTCCGCGTGAGAGGAGGTCGACACCACGCACGGTGGAGGAGTTGCGAGACTGTTTGGAGCAGTCGCACAAGGCAGGCGCCGCCGGGACCACCTCCGACAGTCGCCCCCACGGCGGGTACACAACATACGTGGCGCAGTGTCTCGCGGCGCACTTCATGGACGCCGGCGCCCTGCAACGCATGCGGTGGGCCGTTTTGGCCAGCACGCTTCTCGCCGTCAGAAGTGACACACTCACGGGCAAGCAGCGGGTTTGGTCGCGACTGCTGCTGCGCAACACCTTCATCTTGGCCCTGCAGGCTACCAGTTCGCAGGAGCGTGAGCGGGATCTGCAAGCGACTGTGCGTGTCTTCCTCCTCAGCGACCTCTTCCACCCCATCGTCGCCACGGTGGAACGTGCAGACGAACAGGGACTTGTGTGGTGCTCCGCCGCTGTGCGGGATCTACCGCGGTACCTTGCAGCTCAGACACACCTAGCAGAGCAGCTGCACACAAAACAGCATGCTGGTGAATTCCTCGACGGCATCAGCCATGGTCTGCAACTTTTGCCCCGTTTCAGAGCCGCAACCAGCCTTCACGACACCGATGCCACCCAAACGAATGCCTGGTGCCTGCTTGAGCCTTTCCTGCAGCACACGGAGCTGGCGATCACGTGGCTGCGGAAGTCTTTCCTTGAGGTACCACCTCACTTCCTCTTGTGGATCACCGCACACGTTGACGTAAACAACTCGCAAACCGCTTTCTCCCTCGCCGCATGGTCGATCTTTCTGCACTCTAACCATGCCGTGGATGCGGCTGTGCAGAGCGCGGTACTCCAAGCCACCTGCAAGAAACTCACTCCTGCGCACAAAGAAAAACTGCAGGAATGGCTTCACATTGCTGCAGAGACGTCCAACACCACCTGCACTACCAAGCCCACTTAACACGCATGCGTCTTGCACCTACACTACAAAAACATCAGCATCTCCGTCGATATACCTCTACGCGACAAAAAAAAAGGAAAAAAAAAGAAAACCGCAAATCCTCTTGTTTCAATATCAGCTCATAACCACAACTAACAATACCTCTACCTTACAACTTCACACTCCCTGCGTTCTCTTACTAGAAACAACACAACGACACACCCCTCCTACAACAAGGAAGCAATGAGTGAGAAGGAAGCGGCTGGCGTCGTGAATCCCGTGGATCAGCAGCAGCCGGCGGTGCCGGAGGTGACGGATGTCACGCTGGAGGCCGCGCGCAAGCAGAAGATTCACAACCTGAAGCTGAAGACGTCGTGCCTATCGAATGAGGAGTTCATCCAGGACCTGCATGTGTCGGACTGGAGCGAGACGCAAAAGCAGAAGTTGCTGGCGGCGCACGAGAAGGCGCACGAGCTGCTTGGGGCGTTGGAGGGCGGGACGAAGTGGAACCTGACGGAGGCGTATGACATCAAGAAGCTGATGCGCGTGTGCGGGCTGCAGTTGTCTGTGCGCGAGCTGTACAAGCCGGAGGACAAGCCGCAGTTTATGGAGGTTGTTGCGCTGAAGAAGACGCTGAACGAGCTGAAGCAGCACCACAACAAGACGCGCACCGTC